TAATTGAAACTCTGAGTAATAATTATACAATTTTGTAACTATCGACAATTTAGAAACGAATAGAGACCTGCATTATTAAATCAACTCTCAAATAAATTCATTTGTTTTAATAAATAGAGTAAATGTGATTATGCATTAAACTGTTAATTACAAAATAAAAAATAATAATATATGAAAAAAAAAATCCGTTGAGCACTTTTCGCAAACGTCTTCTGATTTCAAAAGTTACTAGTGGTGCATGGCATCGCGCTTAATTGCAAATTGCTCCAACTTCCCGTATCGAAAAACTTAAAAAAAAATAGATTTCTGAAAACTTTGAAATTTTTTTCATAACTTTTTAAATATTTTCGATTTTTATAATATTATTATTTGCGATTTATAAATATTACTATTGATATTAATATACATAAATTACTCGGAGACAACTTTTTTTTGCATCTCCTCTATATAGTTCTTCATACGATGATTCTCCAGTTTTTTGATCTGATCAAAAATAGAATTTTGGCAGGCCAACAACAACCAAAATTTTGGGAAAACCAACTTTTTTTTCAACATGCCGCCATTTTGTCAATTTTTATTTTTTGTTCGCCCGAGGGTCATCGCACAGACAATATAGTTTAACGAGAATTTTGTTTTTATGTTTTATCAACGGAGAAGACAAGGTCTCCAGCAGTCCTTTTTTTGGCGCCGCCGAAGATTGCGTGTCCTTTCAAAAATATTTTATTTAAAAAATTTCACTGTGTATTCTCAAAACATGTATAAATATACCCTCAAAATTTTAAATAGACGGATTCACTAGTTTTTTTTTAATTCCCATTTTTTTTTAAATTCATAAATGATCATTTTTTTAGGCTGTCATACTAGATGTGCCCCTAACTCTCAATAATGGTACATGTATATATCTGTATCTATGTCAATTTAATTCCGCAATATAAATACATGATAATTCGCTTGTGGCAAATACAATGGTTTTGCATTAGCCGATGTGAAGCCTAATTGATTCGATATTAGCCATTGCCTGCGTATAACAATTAACGCCAGTCAGTTCGGTCCGGTTCAATGCCTAATATACCGTAAGCGATACGGTATGAGAACTTTGCTGCTATTGAAGTTCATTTGATTGAGCCGTCGGCCGTGTTCCGCGATGCATGTACCTTCTGCATAGGAGTATTCGTAGACAAGACGAACGGAGTTCACTCCAAATCCAACTAAAATCCATCCGATCGTCAGACAAGTATCTGCCGAATCATAAAATACCTATACAATACTAGTTGAACTCTTTTGGAAGTAGCTGAACCCCCTGAGTTGAAATCGGTGAAACAACTCTTCGCAACACTAGTTTATAATAACAGTTGCATATTATAAATTTAATAAAAAGATACGTGATTTCGGAAATATGCAGCTAAAGACAGAGGTACAATTGTATCATTAACTTAACCATGGTAACTTCCCCGCACATAAAGGTTGGGAATAATAAAGTCGCAATTCTGTTGTTGTAGAGACATACTAGAATGCAGTCTATTTGAAAAAGACAGGATAAAAATGTTAAAGAAATGTTAAAAAAAATGCAAATTTTCAAATTAAATGAAAAAATGTTAAAGAAATTGTACTCCACGAAAACGCTGATCAAACTCTTCAATTTGTTATCATTACAGGATTCTAATTGTTATCCCTATATAATTAGCTTTATTGAAAAAAAGATATAAATGAATAATATTATATGTATGTGGCTTATATGTTGTATATTACTTATGTGGCTAAATGTTTATCGGAGGCCAATAAAAAATTTTTTAAAAAAAACTAGTGGTGTATGGCATCGTGCCTTGACGCAAATTGCTGGAACTTACCGTACCAGAATTAAATATTCGAGGGAAAAAGATCAGTAATTAATAAATATTGATCAATGATTAATAACAATTCTTTAAACATTTTCAAATAGATAATTATAATCACTATATATTTCATCGTTCTTATCGCTCAAAACACTTGAGAATGTTAACATTAGCAAGAGTGCCGAATGAATCCATCTGAGGATATCTCAGATTCTAATTATATATATTTCAAACAGAATTGTGAATTTAAAATTCATACTTGGAGTATAAAACTTTGTATATATTTGAAAATTTTGAAAAAAATGTTTTTTCTGAAAATTCTGGAGTTAGCTTGAACTGTATAAGCTAAACTTCAAAAATTAACAATCTTGGTACGGAGCCAAACAAAATTATAACAAAATTAGTACTCATTTTTAAAAACTATATCAAATATCTGATAATTTGATGTGCATATATCTAATGACCATTTTTGACCGCCAATCATCAGTTTTTCATTTCGTCAATACGAGTAAAATGTTTTTTGATAGCGTGCTCCGTTCTCTCAAAAACTGAAATACCGTTTTTGGCACGTTTTACCCCGTGACTTCGTAACGGCTGGACCTGTCTTCACCAAAAACTAATCAGCACGTCTCCTCATCGATAGGAATTGAATGTTTTTTGAATCATTCAAATCGGTTGATTCGTGCTGAAATTATCAATGACAATGTTTTTTCTCTTCCTGATTCAGTTAGTTAGAGCAATACTTTTCGATATAAAGTAGCTATTATTTCAGTATTATTTTTCAAACTATCATATGCGATAAATGTACGCCTTGCTTTTTCAAGCGAATCTACTGCTATTCATAATGTTCTTGCATTATTACAAATGCACATTTGCTAATTAGTTGCAAATTATTATTGTTCCAGGCTACATAAAAATTATAAGATTTTACAGTTATATATCGCAAGATTTTGCTATTTTATTACAGTGTATAGAAGATTCATTTATTAAGATATTTCAAGATTCCAACTATATTGATTAGTCTATATATATTTGATAAGAGAATGATCCTGTATATAAATTGCTACTCCTGAAAAGTTTTAATAAACATTATCCTTTATTTTACACAGCTGTGATTTTTAATATAATGATAATTATATAATGAGTAATAATTTTGTAGCTGCTTTGTTGACAAGTAAACAAGAATTATTAATTTAAAACTTCATATAAAAATTTCTATAATTATAACTTTATAATTGAGCACTTTAAAGAAGCAGTCTCGAATTTATGAAATGCATATCAATGGCAATGTTATTAATGCATTAACCTAGTTAATAATCAATAAACGTCTTTAACTTATGCAAATTATAAGCAATATTAAATATAACGGTAGTGAATAAAAACATAAATATAATATGTAGTCTTGAATAAACTTATGCCTCAATATATACCAAATTTACAACCCAGAAAATATAAAAGTTGAACTCCAATAATTAGAAAAAAGCTTTTTCTACTGAAAAAGATGTATCTTACCTTATAACCACGTGTAATGTTTCATAAAAATGCACTGATATTAAAAAGGAAAAGAATTGCACTATAATTAGAAAACTGTTGTTTATAAATTAGGCTAAAACAAGTAAATTTTTAACTCAAAGGCTGGCTTTAGAGAATTTAAAGTGAAAGTTTTGATTCTGTCTAGTTTGATGATCATGAATATCCTAGTTTGTTTCTATTCTGGTACATGTAATGAATTTATTATTTTTTATTTTACCTATTAGTAGGTATTTTTCTGTTCCAATAGTTTTGTGTAGCGATACGTTCTAGTTTTGCTTACCTGTTTTTCTATTATAGTCAGATGAGGGTAATTATTATTTCTTACAGAGCTTATTCATGATCCCTTGTCGTATCTTTATATTTCCATATAATAATTTAGGTATTTTATGTGAATTTAATATTAGCTCTTTGTTCTGAATACTGAATATAAATCAACGTAAACTACAAGTAATACAAATAAAAGATGTAGTGTCTCCTATAACATAATTTACATGTGCCCACATCTTACAAACTATTCATTCCTCACAATCTTCTTCACTTAAATCCGTATATAATTCATAACAACTAGCCCCAAAGGTTTGTTACAACCAACTCCAGGTGTGATTTTTTACATTAATCAAGATAACCATATAGCAATTTTGCAATCGCAAAAATTGTTACACATTATGAAAGATTGAAAAAATTGAAACGAAGTAAGATAAATTAAAATTTAAAATTAGGGTAGTTATAGTAATGGGCCGAAAATCGAAAATGAAAAATTTTGCATTTCTCGACGTTTTGAAGGTCTCTGAACATTTTGGCATACCTCAGAAAAAATGGATGTGTGTGTGTGTGTTTTGTATATCCGCATTTTTCGTCCACGTTTTCGGGTGCACGGATTAACCGATTTGAATGGTTGAAAAACATTCGATTCCTATTGTTAGGGAGATGTGCTAATTAGTTTTTGGCAAAGGCAGGTCCAACCGTTACGGAGATACGGAGCAAAGTGTATTTTCAGACAATACAAATCGAGTTTTTGAGAGAACGGAGTATCCGATTTGAATAATCTAAAAATCATTCAATTTGTAATGATTGGGGAAAGAGGTGATTAGTTTTTGGGAAAGGCAGGTCCACCCATTTTAAAGATACAAAGCTAAATGTGCAAAAAATTGCAGTTTTTGAGAGAACTAAGCGTCCGATTTGGGTGATTCAAAAAACTTTCTGCTTGTTTTAACAAAATAATTGCTTTTGGGAAAAAAATTGTTTAAAATTTTTTCACAATTTTTTTTTTCAAATATCGGAATTAATTTAATATACTTTGCACAAATAATTTCAACGTTGCAATTCTGTTTATATAATTTTTATAAATATTAGACAATGTTACAATATTTATAATAATCTATTTGAAAACATTTAATATTCCTCGAACATTTCGTTACAGTACAGTAAGTACCAGCAATTTGCCTTAAGCCACGATACCATACACCACTAGTTTCATTTTTTATCGTGAAGAGCTCATCTTAATTCGCAAAATATGTATTACATTTTCAAGAAGTATGCACAAAATGATACAATGAATACGTAAACCCTTTGTTTCAAATATGTATAAAGAAAGAACCTTCTCAAATGTTCTAATTTCAACTGTTTCCATTCCAGATTCAAGGAATAAACAGTGCTCACCGAGCGGCTCCGGCAGTCGAACAACGCACCTCAAGTGTAGCAACAAATCGTGCTTCCGAGCACGGATTGCAAACACACAGCCAGGGGCACGCAGTACAACATGGTCATTCGATAACACAACAGCAAGCATCACATCAACAACACTCCTCTCAAATTCGAAATGCTGCTTTGGAGTCGGCACATCATCAAACTAACAACCACGTTCAAGAGAACGGCAGCAGAGCTCTATCGCCCCAGCCTAGGAATGGACACAGGGTCGAAGGGTCAAGTCCGCATGGACAGTCTCCGCATAAATACCCTCTGATGCAATTCGCAGCGAGACACTTCAGACATCCACCAGAGTGAGTACATTTCATATTTATATATATATATATATATATATATATATATATATATATATATATATCTTTATGTCATGGCATCTAACGAAGAATTGTACGATTATTTTCTCGTTTCGGTGCCATACTTTAAACAAAATGCATATAACTTACAACTTACCCGAATAATTTATTGTTATTTCAAGATTTTTTATTTTTTGATAAATAATCAATTATACAATCAATAGGGCGGTGCATAAAGATCCAATCTGACTTTCAGTAACTATTTTGTCTAAACTAAATAAATTCCATAGCAATATGGCACCACGTTACATGTATCAAACACACAAATAAACAACTATCAAACTATGTTCAGAAAAATTCCCAGGTAACTCCTAATTCTGAGCATAGTGCATGGCGTCGCGCCTTAAGGAAAAACAATTTGCTGGAACTTTCCGTAACAATTTTTTGAAAACTTTGAAAGATAGATTTTTGAGAAATTTGAGTTTTTTGGAGAAAAACTTTGATTTTCTTATATTTGAAATTAGCTGTTTTAGAGACGAAATATCGAACCGCGTCGCAGCCTACGGATAAACTTTGGTACGAAACCCATAGAAATGCAAACAAGTACTTAATATTAAAATCTCTAAAAAATATCTGATAATACCATTATTGGCAATTTTTGACCCGTGATATCAAAACGGTTGGACCTGCATTTTCCTAAAACTAATCAGCACGTCCCCCATCAATACAAATCGAATGTTTTTTGAATTATTCAAATCGGTTGATTCTTCTTCCCAAAATCGTCGACGAAAATTTGTATCCGACACATACTCACACGTCCATTTTTGCCAAATGTTCGGAAACCACGGAAACGTAAATTTTCATTTTCGATTCTTTGCGATTACTATAACTTTCCCTACTAGTTACTATACGGAAAGTTAAAAAATCACGACCATAACAATTTTTTATACTTTTATTTTACTTTTAACTTTAACCTTAACTAGTTTCATATCTAAAACGCCGGATTGCAACGACATGGCATTTTGACTGTTTTTAGTATCATTTTGTATGGTACTATTTTACGGCAGAATTGGGCCTCCTATAGATGATTAAATCGTTACGTTGTGGCTTCCTAATATCTTTTACTATTTATTATTATTACATCATTACATTTATTGGTTAAAAATTAAATTCAGGTAATTATTGGTGTAAATACGTTTTTGTTAAATTCTATTTTATCTGTATGTAAATTATATTTAGTTATTATATTTGCATACACACTTAAGGAAAATACAATATTTTTTATTTATATAATTTATTTATGAGATAAAAGTGATATAGAAATGTATGTATTTACGATCTATTAATCCTCCAAAAATTCTGTCATATATTAGTCCCGTCGCGAATTAGGTTGAATTTTGGATTCGGCGTTTTTTTGCGGAGCAAAAGTTCATTAGAACTTTTACTGGGGTCTTCTGAGACATTTTACACAGACCGAGTAATATTACGGACGAAATTATTATTTATTTTAATTTAATAAATTCAGTGACTGAAATGAGTGTAAGTCAAAAATTTGCTGTTCGTTGTTTGTTTTTTTTGATAAATTTTGTTTGATGTTGGCTCTCAATATGATAGTAGGCTTGAAACTGACAGAAACTATATACAGTTATTTTTTGTTGTAAGGACATTTAGAGTGAGCTAAAAACTTATATGCACATTTTTTGGGTTCAAATTTTCTAGTTGAAATATATTTAAAAATAGCAATCAAAACATCTTTAAAAATTCGGGACAATCCGGGACAAAACACCTAAAACCGGGACAAATATTGCTTTTAGAAAAGGCCGGGACGCAAGGCGGAAAATCGGAACTGTCCCGGCCAATCCGGAGTATGGTCACCTTACTTAAAAGCCAAGTTGCTGGAACTTCTCATAACGCAATAAAATATTCCAGGAAGAAAAAGTCAATAATCAATAAATATTGATTAGTGTGAATAACACAAAACACTGAAGTATGTTTATCAAGAGACGTGAATCAATTCAAGCTCAGTTGTAATGAATTCATCCGAGGCTCTTATCTTATAACGCATATGAAATGTATACATTTTTCATCTGAAAGTATAGTTTCGATTTTTCTCATAACCATTTTCGATTTTTTTGCCATTACTATAACTTACCCTAATTATAGAAATGTTTTTTTAATTTTTTTCTAAAATTTGTTACTTTTCATTTTTGCCCCACAAGCAGGGTAAGAAAGCCAGGTGGCAAACAGATTCAACGTCTTTTTTTAATTTTAAAGGGATTTACCAAAATAATAGCTACATTATTTAACCAATGAGAAATTCAATTATTATTATAACATTTATACAAAGATTTCATTGTATTTAACCTTGATCTGGCATTTCGACAAAAATATTAAGATACTAAAATATCAGCAAAGGTCGAGTAAGTAATAATTAAAATTATCTCTTGTAATTTTTTTTATCTTAAACTTCTATTTGACTTACATATTTATTTATTCATTTTATTTTCATCTTATGATGAAATGTATATATATATATATATATATATATATATATATATATATATATCAAATGTGTAAAACACTTTGCCCCACACACATGCAAGTTTTCACAGAAATCATATACAAAAACAGTTGAATCAATAACAATACATCTTACAAATTTATTAAATAACGTATACCTAAAAACTAAATTCAGGTATCATAAACTAAATAAAAAAAAACTCAATCAACCGAAAAAAAACGAAACCAACAAAAACTACCAACGAAAAGATCTACAGAATATGTATAACGTATAAATTAATTGTATTTATACCCATATATAATATTAGATCTCTTTAGTATTAACTTCATTAAATATTATCATATTACATTACTCCATTCATTAACGAAAGTAAACTTAATTTATTTGATCAACTAAAACTCATCACCAAAATGATATTTTTTTACTTTTCTTCAAGTATTCGCATAAAGCGCGATTAAAACATTTTCATATTTTTTAATCTTACTTTCGGCGCTATTTGTGGCTATATTTTATTTAAACTTAATTGTTAATAATAACTGAACTATCTGATAGCCGCATCATTAAATTCATCATATCGAATGACAGTAATAGCTAAAATTCTCATGAAAGTTTGCGCCTCGTACTTATTATAGTTAAATGCAAACCAACAACAGACGTCCTTGGAATCAGCAGACAGAATAGAAGAATAGTTCTGACAAAAAAATACGCCGAGCATATAATAATTCCTATTTTGTAATTTCAAATATATATTCAAACACTATATATTACATTATCAATGTGCAATCATGCATATGAATAGCATTACATATTTATATTTATTGCTGAAATATCATTTCGCAGCATTTTCTTGAAATGGGTAACAAGATTTTGCAACTAATGATTGCGCGTTTTATATTATTACTCAGCTTAAAAAAACTGAGGCTGAAAATCCCATATTAAAAATATTTCATAGACTTTAACAAAATTTAAACCTTTACCATGTACGTCTAAAATCATAGATTCCCAAACTTCTTGTGCCGTGAACTCCTTGTGCTTTGCCATGGACCTTTATAACTAACTGAACTACAGTTAATTATTTAATATTTGAAGTAAAAGTATATGTTACTTTTATATATTTATTAATGTAATTTAAAATAATAACTAGTGGAGTATGGCCTTATGGCGAATTGCAAGAACTTCCCGTACCGTAATGTAATATTCGAGAAAAATTAAATAATTTAAAATCGTGATTATAAATATAGTAAGTCATATATGTTTACAAAAAAGTAAACAAACAAAACTCAATCAATAATATTTAAAATGAAGGACATAGTACAATATTTATAATAATTAAATATACTGAATAGCAAAGTTTAAATTATTCATTTAAAGTATGTTCGTGAGATATGGAACTTTAGCCAGAATTAAAATTAAAATCCAAATTATTTGAAACAAAATTCTTTTTCCAAAAGCAATTGTTTCGTCAACACAAGCAGAAAGAATTATTCAAATCGGATGATTAGTTCTTTCGAAAAATGCAATTTTTTTCACATTTTGTTTGGTATCTCCAAAATGACAGAACCTGCCTTTGCCAAAAACTAATCACCACTTCTCCTCATCATTACAATTTGAATGTTGATTTTTTGATAATTCAAATCGGATACGCCCTTCTCTCAAAAACTCGATTTCTATTTTCTGCACTCTGCTCCGTACCTTCGTAACGGCTGGACCTGCCTTCGCCAAAAACTAATCAGCACATCGTCCTATCAATAGGAATCGAATATTTTTTGAACCATTCAAATCGGTTGATCCGTGCGCCCGAAAACGAGGTATACCAAAATGTTTATAAACCTTCAAAACGTGAAAAAATGCAAAAATTTTCATTTTCAATTTTTGGCCCATTACTATAACTAACCTATAGGGGAAGTTAATTACTCAACGGGAAGTTAAAAAAAAATAAAGTATCCGAAATTTAAATGCTTAATTAATATAAATAATATTATTATATATATATATATATATATATATATATATATATATATCCAAAATTCAAAATGATAAAAATACAACAATTCCCGAAAATTCACATTCACAGGACTACCCTGCTTTAGTCAATTGTAATATTGTTTGCGTGTTGTTTGAAATTAAATAAATCAATTTTATAAAAAAAAATAATCGAAAATTATATTATTATATAAATTAATAAATACATAATATATTGCAAACTCAAGTTTGAGACTTGTTTAAATAATCTGGAATATTAGAAATTATACGCACAAAAATCTACTAACGCCACTAGTAAAGGAAAATATATATAACAATATGTGAAGTTATTTCTTACTTATAACTAATATGTAAGTTTTCATCTAAACAACAGAATTGTTAAATTTAATTACTTCCTTCTTTTTATAGTCATTGTTTCATTTATATGAGTAAAATATCTATCTTTATATTCAATTTTGAATTGAAAGTACGACCAAAATAAGTATGTTTCGAAAAT